TTTCAACATAAACACCAGCTTTAATTCCAGACAGCAATCAATTGACAAAAAAAAGATTACAGGCATCCAGCCCAAAAAATTAAATTGTCATAAACAAATATAAGTCCGCTCCACTGAGCCTTACTGGGTATTAGCTATAGTCCGCTGAGCTGGGTCCGTTTCCTCTATGGGGACAGTAACAGTCCATCCACAGAACCCTGTCCTGCTGACAGGCTTGGCTCCAAATACAGAACTTGCTGCATTCAGCACACTGTCTCTCCTTGCACTGAGACACACACAAGGGCAAACACAAAATAGCTTGCAGCAACAGCAACATAAGACAATCCTTTTATATGGCTCAGTAGCTTTCCTCATGAGCCCTCACGCTGCTCTCTCAGCAGTGTGTCCCAGCGGTCCTAGGGTCACCGACCTTCCCGACCTCTCACAGCCTTCCCCGGCTGTTCCACACACACCTGAGTCTGCTGTGGCCCTGTGCTTCCTGCACCCACACAACTGCAACACTCCTCCTGAGCTCTGGGCTGGCTTCCTTATGAGGCTGCTCTCAGCCACCTGATCAGCCCAGGCTGGTCATTGGTAACACCTGGCACCAGGACTGGAGATCTCATCCCATCCAGAGCTCTACGAAATCTCCAGATCCCAGTTACAATCAGGAAAACCTGGACGAACCTAGTTGTTGTATCTAAAGTTTGTGTGCTGTGTCATTTTTTACTATTTATTCCTAGTTTGTTCCTTCTACATCCATTATTTATGATTGCATTGAAACATAACTCTTGTTCATTATGTAACTTTGCTCTATGCTCACAAGTGCCTTCATGTTGCGTTGTGCTAATCTTTTTAATAGGACACAGAGAGCAAATGACAAAACTTGACAGTTTGTCAGAAAATTATATTTTTTTTAGGGCTGTTGAAATTAACGATTAATTCCTCGATTAAATCGTTACACTTTTTGATCGATTAAAATTATTTTGATCGAAAAGGAAAAGACTCGCCTCTCCGCAGGCTAACGAAGGGAAGGGGGGAGGAGTCCGGTGACGTCTATGTCCGTGATGTCACCGGACTCCTCCCCCCTTCCCTTTGTTAGTCGACGGAGCCACTTGGGCCGGTGAGTTTGCCCAAGAAGCACCAAGCTTCTGTCTTATCTTAAAAACTTATATATATGCACTATGTGGCTCTCCATTAACCCCCTTCCCCCATCTCGCTCCCAGAAATGTGCCCATTAAAATTTACTGATATGTTGCAATCAGTTCCTTACATGAAATGGAATGGACAGGTGCTGCTACTTCAAATATTAAGCTAATACTTATGTTTAAATCACCCTTAGGGCTTTGCTGTTTTACTATACTATGTAAATACATTAGTAATCCAGCACGTTATTATTCTGAGTTGCCCCACTCAAGCGGCGGCCATATTGAGTGGGGCACGTGAGATTAATAACGTGCTGGATTAGTGTGATCCTAGTTCATTTTATTACTTCATTGCTGTGCTGTATGTGTATAGGCCAATGTAGTTGGATCTGTATGTGCGATAATCGATTAAAAAAATTTAGATTAATCGAACACGAAAATTTTAATCATTACCAGCCCTAAATTTTTTTCTAACCTTTAAAAAAAATTGTTTTAATATTTTTTTTTTACTTTACTGTTGGGGGCAATATCGGGGTTCTAAACAGACCCCTGGTATTTTCCTTTTGAAATAGAAAAAGAGATACACAGAGTCCTCAATCTCTTTTTCTGCAGCCCTTGTTATGAATGAACAGGAATCCTCTATACTGACTGCTCCTGTCCATTCATAAGCTGTGAAGATAGTATGTTTACCATGTCCACACTCATGAATGAACCGGAAGTGATGTAGAACACTTCCTGTTCATTCATAATTGGGGACACAGTAAGCATACTATGTCCTCAATTATTTGCAAGCATTCACATCAGCTGATTGCTGAGTGCTTGTAACTGCTCTCCATCCTGACTCACTGTCACAGTAGGCAGAGCTGCCTCCTCGCGGCACCAGTCTCCATCCTGATCTGCCTGTCACAGGAGGATGGGAGGAGCAGTGCAGGAGGAGAACTCTGCCTCCAGTGGCACAGCTGACACCGCTGACAGCCCTTTTGTCCCTGCCCCGCTCAGCCTCCTGACAGTTTCTCCCCTCCCCGCTGGACTCTGTGCTGTGTCACCGGGGACACAGACCAGCACCCAGCGGGGAGGAAAGAAATAACAGATGCACTGCATTTTCTGCCAAAATATGGTACTTTTGGCACTTTGACCAAAGTACCATTTTTGTCCGAAATGTTTAGGCAGCTGAAATTTTGTAGCATTCCTAGTTCTAAACATGATCTACTGTATCCAAAACAAAAGGAAAAAAACATTACAAAGAAGTTGGAAATTAATCTGAACACACAACTTTTTCACAAATGTTTGGCAGTGTCTTTACCTTTAATCACAGAGGACCTTTTGCAAAGTCTTCAGTGGTGACCAAGCAGCAAATACATTCGGAAGAACTCTTACCCACACACGCAAAAGAAGCAACTTACCATGGCCATGGGGGTACCCGCAAGGTACATGCTTTCATCAATTAAACCCATCAGCCTCAGTATAGTGGGATCATCATAACTGAATCGGTGACCAAGCAGTATAGAGATGATTATATTGGCCACTGCAGCATTAATGATGGTCTGAATATCAAAAGGTTTTCCTAGAAATAAAAAAAGAGGCAAATAAAAAAAATCACACTAAATACATGAATAATAGACTAAGGGCTCTTATTATACATGTTTCCCCCCAGGATTCATTCAGCTTTCATCCAAAATTTTGAAAATGTGACCTCAGATGCAAACTTTTGTTTACGATTCATAATGCCTTCAGGGACCTGAAACCTAATGTTTCATACGGTCTGAGTATTGTTTGTTACCGTTTGTTATTTATAAATATGTTCTTTATACTTGTTTGTTAATAAAAGGCTACACTGGCCATTGAACTCCATTGCCTGGTGTATTGGTATTGTTTAGAGCAGGGCGAGGATTTGGGGATGATGTTGTAAAGGGCTTAAGTGGATACAGGGGCCTCTAAACTACCTTAGTCAAGACAGACAGCTTGATCTGCCAATATAGGAACAAATGGGAATGGTCATCAAGTGGGAACTTATACTTTATTCCAGTAGCATATTGTCAGAAACCACCTGCTACTGCGCATTTGCGGGGTCCCGTTTTCCATACCACAGGTAAACGAGCACTTGCGCGCATGTGCGTGTGCAATGAAATGGCCGCGCTAAAACATGCCACATGGTGCACAGGAAGTGATGCTGTTTCCTAATAAATCACCCTATTTCAACTGGCCTCCCTGACTCCAAGTTGCTGGATTGTTTTTCAGCTTTGCCTTTATTTCCATTGCCTCTAGTGATCTTGCTGACTTCTGACCCGGTCTATCCCTGACCCCTTTGATTGCTGCCTGCCCCTAACCTTCTGCTTGTTGTGGATCTGCCTCTGTCTCCTGCCTTTGTACCTCACTGCCTGACTGGTGTGACCCATGCCTTGTTTGACCACGATTTTGGATTCTGCTCTGCACACCGCTGCCTGCCTGGTTTCGACTTAAGCTCTGCTTGACCGTATCCAGTGCCTGGACTCCAGCTTGCATGATGTGATCACCACTGACACCTGTGCCACTCACTGTCCACTCAGATTCTGTTCCCAACTCCAGAGTCTTTAAGACACGAGGTGTAAGGGAAGTCTCGTCACCCAGTCTCCAATCAGGGACGTGACACATGCAAATATATTTGCAAGAAAATAAATACTTAAACAGTAAATAAAGGATAATAATATTTCTTTCTTATATAGGGTATAAAGTGAATACTAAAGAAGACACGGAAGTTGCAAAACAATCACCTCCATGCGCTTTTATCGCCTGCACCAAACATTCAGCTTCTTCACTGATCTTGTCTTCTATCGCTTTTCTCCCCATTCCGTAATCTCGGAGTGTTGAAATGGTGAATCTTCTCATTGCCTTCCAGCTCTCCCCATTAGAAAAAAAGACACCTGAACCGAAGGAATGTAATATGTTTTTGTTTTTTGTGTCCACAATATAACCACCAGATACAAATGCTGCCCAGAATACGGATCCAGGACTGTTAATAGCAATATTGTTTACTTCATTTTATCTCGGACCTTAACTTGCCATTGCATGCAGGAAACAGGACCATGGAAAACCTCCCCCCTCACCTCTTCTTTTCAACATAGGGGAAGGTGTTCTGTAGACTACAGAGATACTTGAGAACATTGCTAACTGATAACAGTGCATCACAGGATGTTATCCAGCTCAATGGATTCCTGGCATGATCAACACATTTGCACTTATTGAACAGAGTATTACAGAAAACAAGCAATGCTACAAAAGCGCATTGTTGGCCTTTTGAATGAAAAAAAAAATAATAATATCATGGTTACCATTGTCTTTTGTTGTTTTAGCTGTTATTGGCAACTGTGGTCTGTTAGAAAATTCTTCACCATGGTTGAGGAGAGCATCTTTAACAGTGTCATAGCCACACAAGAAGATGACTTGTTTCATTCCGAAATGAAAAGTCAATACTGGGCCATACTTCTTAGCCAGCTGCAAATGCAACAAACAATCGAAAACAGTTAACAGCCTACATTTTGCATTCATGAGATCCCCTCCTTCTATGTGCAAGTACATTGTTTATTCTTGTATGTATGTATGTATGTATGTATGTATGTATTTATGTGTATGTATGTTGTAGTTAAAGGAACACTGTGCTTTTTCAAAAACTTTTAAACTCCTTGCACTGAATGTAGTTCATGTGGTGGTGATTACAAAATTGGAGTTACACTTTAAAGTGACACTAAACTGAGGAGTTACATCTTAAAAATACATTTTTATACTGTAACTATGAACAATACTGGACCTTATTTGTGTATCACTCGGCTGTAGATCCTCAAATCATCTCTGAATTGGAGCCGACACTGTCCTTCCTTCTGGAGGGTGGCGACTTTTGTTCCCCATGGTCCCTGTGTGTGTTGTAAAGTAGTCACCGCTCCAAGCTCACTCCTGTGATGGATTACAATCTCATGTTTAGTTTACTCATTTGTATTGAGATTGTAGTCTATCACGGGAGTGAGCTTGGAGCGGTGACTACTTTGTCACATCACTGATATGTACCGATCCATCACTGATATCTACCGATCCTCCGCCGCTCGGCCATGCACAGAGGGGCGGCACAGCCTGCAGCTTTTCCTCGGAATCTCTGCTGCTTTCCCCCACCTGTGTGGGTAGAGGCAGCGGGGATGTGAGAAGAAGTGAAGTTCTGCAGCCAGCCGGGGGAGAGGGAAGGGGCGCGGGAGGGAGTCGCTGTCACAGCTGCATGGCTGAGCGATGAGGAGAGAGAGCGCCACCGGCTGTCAGATCCTGGCTGAGCGGCTCTCTCTCCCCTGCCAGCTGCAGTGCTTCTCTTTTCCTCGGATCCCCGCTGCCTCTGCCCATAGAGATGGGGAGAGCAGCGGGGATCCAGAGAAGAAGCTGCAGGCCGTGCCGCCCCACTTCTCAGTGTCGTGCTGAGCACCTGCTGTGCTCCCCCGCACCTGCACCCGAAGCAAGATCCTCAGTTTCCTCACCCTCGCTATGGTCCTGGTAACCAGTGATGTCTATATTCAGTGCTGCAAAAACTGTTGAACAGGTGGAAGGAATGCCAGTCAGATGCATCATTTTGATACTCATAAGTTGTTTTTTTTATCAGGGTTGTCCTTGACAGTAGACATGTGCGATGCGGTTTGTTCCAAAGCGAAATTCGGACGAATTTTGGGAAATTCGGATGTATCCGAATTCCGAATTACAGATATAACGAATGCAAACAAATCCGAATTTCCATTTCCGAAATTCGTTAGCGGTAGTTCGTTCGAACATTTGTTTTGTTTTCGTTTCTTATTCGTTTCGTTCGTTCGTTGCAGCAAAGTGACATTAGAGAAGGAGAAAAACATTTTCCCCCCTCAAATGTCACTTTGCTGCAACAAACGAACGAATGAACGCAACGAATAAGAAACGAAAACAAACGTTTGAATGAACTACCGCTAACTAATTTTGTCCGGATCCGAATTCTGAATCCGAATTGACTTTCACACCCGAATCTGAAAAACTAAATAACACAAAATCCAAATTAAAATGAAACTTATCTAAACAAATGTTTTGCCAGTGCACATGTCTACTTGACATCAACAGAACATCTGCAGAGTTTGCAAGATGGTTATTTTACCTCAAAAACTGTTTTGTCAGGTTGTTTTTTATCAATCAAGTGCAGATTTCCAATGAGGGGTAAAGGTCTAGGCCCAGGAGGTAAATTCTTGTATTCTTGTCTCTTTTGCTTGCGGTAAATATTGGCCAAAAAGAGGATGACCATGACAGATAAAAGGATTGTGACAAGGTCCATGGTGATTGTGTTGCCAATGATATCTAAGAAAAGGAAAACAGAAGGGAAGAATTGAACCTCTTAATTTTTTTTTTTTACTTTGTTTGTCCTGGTGACCACCACCCTAAAATAGAAAGTGTTTGGAGATCCAAAATGTCACTAGAACATCTGAAGGTAAATCTTTCAATGGGGGCACATATTCTGGTCACAACTATCTAAGAGAGGCATTCCCCTTAGATTGTAGAGTTTCAATGTACACATACACATTGTAGATGTTTGCCTAAAATTCAGCTTGTAGGCTCCGGGCTTACTGGCAACATGGCTTCCATAGTGTTTGCAATGATGGCCAACACATTTAGAGGGCCTCAAGGGCAAGCCCTGACACTTCCAGAGGGCTGAACAGTAGCAACATGTTTTCATGTGTCGAGGTGCATTGCGTCAAGTTTGGGAGCACATTCAAAAAGAATAGGCTCTAAAGCATCTCAATGTCTGAAAAATCCAGTCCTTCTCTTTACCAAAATATATATATATATTTTATTACATTTTCAGCAATTTTTACATTTGTAAAACAATTTTCATCATTTCAAAGTCATAAGCATACCACGCAGTGGTTGATCACAGCCATAACAATCCATCCATTAACATATACATGGTGAATGGAGCACGCAAAGCAGTGCTCCCTCTATAAACAAGTATTCATACAGTGCCAACAAGCATTACCCCTTTATTCTAAGGCCTGCCTCCAAAGGAGGTTGTCAATCCTGGCCTATCTGCAGGACCCCCAAGGCATTCGACAAGGCATTGGTCAGGTACCATTCAGTGTAGCCGAAGGGCTTGACAATTTGATGGATTTCCTCCATAGAGTAAGCGATACTAATAAAATATCTCCATCGTGATAGAAAAGCGTAGAACAGACATCTTTATGCATCTCTGCATCCAGTTTGTCCTTACACATCAGCAGTTTAAGATCCTTTGTAATCTCTGTTATCGTCAGGGCCATTGGAGAGTTCCAGTGCCTCATTATGCATCGTCTTGCCACCAGAAGGCATAGGTGGGCCCAGTCCATGCCTTTTCCCCGTACGGTCCCCGACCCTCTCCAGAGGGTGCAAGGAAACCAAAGAGACAAAAGGCAGGATGCAAATCCGGTTGCCAGGAGAGAACAGATTTGATGTACATGAGCGTTTGTGTCCAGAAGCGGGATATAGAGGGGCAACTCCACAAGCAATGGTGTAATGGGGCTCTGAGGCACGCGCATTTCAGACAAGTGGAGGTCATTGATCGCACGGGAGGGGTCCCGACCCCGGTGTCTGGAGGCCGAAAGAATGGGAAATAGACTCTGTGAATGATCTTGAATTGGGTCTCCCTCCATGTTTCATTCGTAGCTACAGCTCTTATCGTATTATAGCCTCGGAGGATTTTATCCAACATATCTGGGTCATCAAAGTCTCTTTCCCATTGCCTCACATTTGAGGAGGAGAGAGGGGTGAGGAATAGAGTTTGGAGCCTGGGGTACGTTGTTGAAATGGAATATGATCTATCCGATATGAGAATGTCCAGGAAGGAAGAAGAGAACAGTGCCTTGGGTGTACCCCATACTCCCTCCAGGTTGATCTAAGTTGCAAGTAATGCAGAAAATCAGCTCCAGGTAATTGGAATTTTAGCATCAGATCCTGAAAAGAGAGAGGCTGGCAGGTGCGTGGATGAAACAGTTGTCGCCAGTTTAGTAATCCTTTGTCCCTCCATTAATGAAAAGCTGCGTAATCGATACTTTGCGAGAACACGGGGTTTCCCAAGAAAGGGTTGTAAATCGACATATATGGAGAGAATTGCAGTGCCTTCTGAGTTTCTCGCCACACAATGATGGTATCCCTATGAAGAGCATTTTGTTGAATTCCTTGGGGCAGCATGAGAATTCTACAATGGAGAATCGCTTTTAAGTCTCATGGTGCTACTATTTCCGCTTCCAGGTCTGTATTTGAATACATAGAACTATCTGATAACCATAGAACTATCTGATAACCAATCTAGTGCATGGGTGAGCAAGCAAGCCATGTTATACAATTTAATATTTGGGAAGCAGTCCTTCTCTTTATTGTGCATTGCATCAGTCCTTACCGCAAAGCACAATAAAAAGAAATTTGGAGTAAAATAAGCCCCATTGTTATTGTTAGTGGAAGTAATAGTAGCTTCCAACAATGGTGTCAGTGGCCACAATTATAACCCACAACATTTCTATAAGTTGTGAGTGGCCATAACCCCCTCTAGTGAGTGGCTATAACCCAAGCATTGGTGTAAGTAGTCACAATAGTAATGCCCAGCAATGGTATCAGTGGATGCAATAATAACCCTCTATGATTGGTGTAAATGGCCACAATTATAACCTCCAGCATTGATGTAAGTGGCCACAATACAAAACCCCAGCGTAGGTATAAGTTAACACAATAATTACCCTTATCATTGGTGTTAGTGGGCACAATAATAACTCCTAGCAATGATGTTAGCGGCCCCATTAATACCTTCCTGCGTTTGTGTAAGTGGCCCCAGTAATAACCCTCAGCATTGGTGTAAGTGGAAGCTATAATAACCTCCACATTTGCGGCCAGTGGCAGTAGTCTTTAACCCCTTCTTCATTGGCGGTTAGTGACAATGCAAATAGATCTGCCCCACACTAAATACTAGTATGACTACAATAAATGTGTTTGTGTTAAAATTATTCTGCACTGTACTCTAGAGCAATACTGCAACAATATTGAATGTGCCTTTAAGAATTGTCAGTAGTGCATAAATAATAATATGATATTAGATTGTAAACCCTCAGGGGCCGGGCCCTCCTTACCATCTTGTCTTGGTTTCTATTGTGATTGTAATGTCTTCCTTATATTGTAAAGCGCTGCGCAAACTGTTGGCGCTATATAAATCCTGTATAATAATAATAATAATAATATTTTCCTACATATAATCTTCTAAAAACAACAGCATAAAGTGCTTGAATACAATTAAAGTGCATACAGCCCCCTCTTTATAAAATAGTGCTATGTTCAAAAGGTGCTTTCAATCAATATACAAAGTACAAAAAGCATAGTGTAAAGAAGCAGCGATTTTTCTCCAGACCAAGCACCAGTACCCATACTTTTCCTCAAGTACTCACCGATACCAATTTCTTTTTATTTGTGTCATGTGACAGTTTTTCTAAAACAATACAGACTAATGATTTTAGGACAGCGGTGGAGCGCCAGGGCGCAGTTGCAGCTGCGACCCTTGTAGCTCCGCCACTGACTCGAAGCTGTAGAGAGAATACAAATCGCAGCAATACATTTTTTACAGCAGTGCCGAATGGCACCGGCTATAGAGGACTACAAATCAAAGCAATACATTATACAGCAATGCAGAAGAGCACCCGCTATAGAGGACTACAAATCCTAGCAATACATTTTACAGCAATGCAGAAGAGTACCCGCTACAGAGGACTACAAATCCCAGCTATACATTATACAGCAATACAGAATGGCACCGGGTTTATGGAGGACTACAAATCCCAGCAATACTTTATACAGCAATGCAGAATACCACCGGCTATAAAGGACTACAAATCCCAGCAATACATTATACAGCAATGCAGGATGGCACCGGCTATAGAGGACTACAAATCCCAGCAATACACTATACAGCAATGCCGAATGGCCACGGCTATAGAGGACTACAAATCCCAGCCATACATTTCAATACAGAATAATAGTATATAAAATTGCTACATACTCTGTGCTGCGGCTCTGCTCCGGGGTGCTGGCTTGATATCTCAGGCGGAGGGTCTCAGGAGGGAGAGATTTGTGGGTTGGTGGAAGTGCTGTAAACAGTTGCCACATGATTCCCAAGAAGGCTGCCGCAAGGTCCCCAGCAAGCGTGGAACCTAAGGCAGCAGCTTCCATTTGACAAATTAAAGCGCCGGTATCGGTTTTTGCTATCGGGGCATTTCATTAGTGGGAATACTCGTGTAAATGCCCAGTATTGGCACCAATATCAATACTGCTATGACTATCGGTGAATCCCTAAAATTGTCCAAATCAATCTGTGGCTGTATTCACTCAATATATCGTCTCTTATCATTAAAACCACTGCAGAGGTCATGAGCAAAGTGCTTCAGTACAATAACTCAATATGATGTTCAATGTACAGTACATGGCGAACTATCCTATATCCTATGCCTTTAGATGGGCAGAGCCAGCTGTCAGTCACGGAGCTGGGCGGATCCCGGCACAATTGTCAGGATCCGCTTCAGCTGCGGCGTCTCAGTATACCGCGAGCAGCAGCTCGCGTTATACTGCGGTGTCTCAGTATACTCAGTATACTGAGCCTAGGGTGACGGGAGGACGCTAGTTTGTGTGCCCCATAGTTCTCCTTTAATTGTATTCAAGCCTTTTATGCTGTTGTTTTTAGGATTCTATCACATTAATATTTATATACTCCTGGAACTTCTTAAAGGCACATTCATTAATGTTGCAATATTGCTACCGGGTATGAGTACAGTATAGACTCATTCTATTTAAGGACACATTTGTTGTTGCAATACTAGATCCAAGTGCAGTGCCGATCTATTTGCATTTAGGGAGTAGCATATACTATTTGAGCACAGCAGATTAGGTTTACACTTTTAGATAGAGACACGGAGCAAGGTGGAAAATTAGAGTAGTGACAGTATGCTGTTAACTCCCTCCCTGCATTGATGGTGGGAGCCATAGTTTTTGAATCCCCCCGCCCCCACACATTTGCATTGCTGGTCAGTCGCAGTTCTGTTAACCACCTTCTACTTACCAGATCTCATGTTCCTGTGCAGCTCTTGCATCCTGATGACTCCCTGGGACTATATTTCTACTGTCGGGCAAAGGTCACATTGCCTGACAATACTGGCTTTATGTCAATTAATCGAATGCAATGCAATTTATGTCAATAACTCGAGTGCTGGAATGCAGAGAGCCACTCTGCTGCCCAAGTGCCCGAAAGGTGTCAGACTCAGCCTGGGGTGT